ATCATGATAACAAAAATTTGGTTGCATTATCCATGCAACACATGTTAGTTATTAACATTTTAGTGGGTCTTTATAACTTATCTGCATATTTTATTAATGTGTTTTTTGTGGTATTGGAACAAGGCAGTGAGATGCGGAAGAAGTATACTGCAGCAAAAATCTAGAGTCCACTGGTTGAAAAAGGGTGATAAGAACACGTCATACTTCCATACAGTCACTAGAACGCGTCGTAAGAGGAATTTTGTGGCAGGCCTAAGAGATGAGAATGGCGAGTGGGTTACTGATGAAAAGGGTAAAGCGGACATTGCTACCAGTTTCTATGACCATTTGTTCACTTCGGAGAATAATGTTATTAATATGGGGGAGCGTGTTGCTGCTTTGCCTATCGCCCGTAGTGTTACTCAAGAGATGAATGCGGGCCTGACGGCTGTTGTCCTCCTGGACGAAGTGCGTAAAATTGTCTTCGCAATGAGTGCTAAGCAAGCCCCCGGGTCAGATGGGTTCACGGGCAAGTTCTTTAAGGCCTTTTGGGGTATTGTGGGGGACTCGATGGTTGACGCAGTCTGCTCTTTCTTTACGACGGGTAGGATGCTCCGTAGCTACAACCACACATGGCTCACGTTGATCCCTAAAGTGGATAATGTTGAATCCATGAGGCAGTTACGCCCAATCAGTTTATGCCAATTTGTGTATAAAATCATAACTAAGATCTTGGCTGAACGATTGTCGGGTCTCTTACCTAACATTGTTTCTTCGGGCCTGAACGCTTTCATTTGGGATCGCCAAATTGTTGAGAATATCCTCCTTGGGCATGAGTTAATGCAATACTTGAAAACCAAAAAGCAAGGCAAGAAGGGGTACATGGCTCTTAAGGTTGACATGGAAAAGGCCTATGATAGAGTCAAATGGCTGTTTCTTCTTGCAATTTTGGACAAGATGGGTTTTAACCCAGTGTGGCAGAGGTGGATATATGAGTGTCTCCGGTCTTCATCGTTCTCTGTGCTGATGAATGGTACTCCATCTGGGTTCTTCAGACCATCGCGAGGATTGCAGCAAGGTGATCCCTTATCCCCTCTTCTTTTTGTGCTTTGCACTGAGGGGTTTGCGGCTCTCTTGCGTAAAGCAATTGAGGATAAGAGATTGGCAGGGGTAAAGGTGGCTCCGCATGCCCCCCGTATCTCGCATTTATTCTTTGCCGATGATTCTTATCTGTTCCTGCGGGGCACGCTGCAGGAGTGTGAGAATTTGATTGTAGTACTTAATGAATATGAGGAACTAAGTGGGCAGCGCGTTAATTTGGCTAAATCAGCGGTTTGTTTCAGTAAGAATGTTGCTGTTCCAGACCAAGAGTTCTTAGCTGCGATTTTGGGTGTCGGAGCTATTGGGGTGCAGGATAAATATCTGGGCCTTCCTACGTTGATTGCTCGCTCTAAGATGGAGACCTTTCGGTATTTGGAGGAGAAGCTGTTGGAAAAGCTCCAGGGGTGGAAACGGAGGACCTTGTCTTGGGCAGCGAAGGAGACTCTGATTAAATCTATTGCCTTGGCTTTACCGTTGCATGTGATGTCCTGTTTCAAGATGCCTCTCTCGTTGTGTCTCCTTTTGGATAAACATGTTGCTCGTTTTTGGTGGGGTGATGAGGAGGGGCACTCGAGAATCAGGTGGATGGCCTGGCGAGATATGTGCAAGAGTAAGCACGAGGGGGGTATGGGCTTCCATCGGTTTGAGCAGTTCAATCAAACCCTTTTAGCCAAAATCGGCTGGAGAATCTTAGTTGAGCCTCAGTCTCTTCTAGCTCAAGTCTATAAGGGTAAGTACTTCCCCTCTGGGCATTTCCTTAATGCTAAAGCTAGGTCGCGCCCATCTTGGGGATGGCAAAGCGTATTGTATGGTCGAGATTTATTGGAGATGGGTCTCAGATGGCAGATTGGGAATGGGCATTCGGCGTCCCTTCTTCGATCCCCCTGGATTCCTCAACTACAGCTCGATCCCCCGAGGTATAACCCGGTGGTGTTACCAGAAGGGGGAGATCCTACTGTAGCGGAGGTAATCTGTCAAGGGGAAAGCCGGTGGTGTGATCGCAAGCTCAACTAGTGGTTTGATCCACCTACTTGTCGTCTTATAAAAACTATTCCCCTTCCCAGGCAGAATATTGAAGATAAACTGATTTGGCAATTTACGTCTGATGGGGTGTTCTCGGTTAAGTCAGCCTATCATCTGGCTGTCTCCCTTGATAGGAGGAGGGGGAGGGCGTCGGCTAGTTGGATGGATAGATCCAGTTGGATCCGGTTGTGGGATGCGAATATTCCCCCTAAGCTGAAAGTCTTTGTTTGGCAAATTCTGAATCGAATTCTCCCGACCACGGAGGCCCTAATTGAGCGGAAGGTGCCTATCCTCCCTCGTTGTCCGGTCTGTTGGGATGGCCCGTAGACCATGGAGCATCTGTTTCTGGATTGTCCGGTGGCGCGGGCGCTTTGGGGCCTTTCAGGGATGGAGTACTTAGGGGAAGGGTTGCCTCGTCACACTTTCCTGTTGTTCCTTAAACGTTTGATGGCCTTAATTCAGCAGCCGCCGCTCTTCATGGCAGTCGTGGCAACCCTTTGGCGTATCTGGCGTTCGAGAAATTGGATGGTGTTTGAAGGCAAGCAGTTTGGGTTCCCTGCGTTAATGAGGCAGTTTTCCCAACAGTATGAGGAATGGGTGGGGCTGCCGGTAGAGGTGCCCTCCATGCCTCCTCCCCCGACGGTTCCACGGTCAGATGGATCAGGGCAGGCTACTGGGTTTACTTGCCAGTGGGATGGGGCTACCAGGAAGGGATCGCATTCAGTGGGTGGCATGGTTCTTCTGTCTCCCTCTGGGGATGTTCTTATGGCTCAAGGGATTCAGATCTCGGGGATTGATGACCCAGTGGTTGTGGAGTTGTTAGTGCTCCGTGAGGCTATTGCTTGGTGCTTGGGTCAGGGTTTCTCGGGGATACCCTTTGAAGGGGATGCTAAGATCATCATTGACAAAATCAATTGCAAGGATGCTAGGGATAGTCGGCTGGGTGCTGTTCTGGAAGAAGTCTTACATTTTTTTTTTTGTGATTAGCCCAGGGTTTAGTGTGCAGTTTATAGGTCGGAGTAGAAATAGGGTGGCCCATTTGGTGGCTAGAAAAGCCCTCTCCTTGACCCGACCATGAGTCGTTTCTTGATTTTCGGACCTGGCTGGGTTCCAGGGTGTAACTATCTTTGTTTTGGTATCAATATATGATTATCTTTTGTTAATAAAAAAGACATTAAACATTGCATCTTAATATTATTAATGCTTTTTTCAACAAAATTCAATTTCATTATTAGTGACTTGCTCATTGTTATTAACGGTTTTTAATATCATTATTAAAAGCTTGATGTCATTTTTTCATATTGTTGTTGTGCTTATTTTCAACGAAATAATTTTTGTTATCAATGATTTGTTTTATTGTTAATAAAGTTTGGTGGTGAGGTGTGAATGTTGGGTTGCTTGAATTAATATTTTTCTTTACAATGTTTGGTTGAGTGAATCACATATTAGTATTGTGCTTAATGACCATTGACAATTATAATGTAAAGTAATATCAATTGATCGCAAAACGTTAACAATGTCAGAAGAAATCATCGGAAGAGGTCATCACTAGATAGTTATAAACATGATGTGAAAATGAAAAGCATTAGTAAAGATGTTGTAAATCAATGATATTGTTATTCAAACTGTTAATCATCATGTTACATAATTTTAATGATTCATTCATAAGCGTTGGTGATGAAAATATAAAATGGTAACAATTGATCCAAAATTGGTGATAATGTAATTGTAAAGAATTGATAAATAAATTGAAATCATTAATAATGATAAGACATAGTATTAATGATTCGTTTCATAAACGTTGATAATGTTATTGCAAAACGTTGATACTTTATTGCAAGTTGCCATGAAGTGAGAGAGAAGATATTTTTAATTTGTATTTTAAAAAGAAAAATATTAAGTACGAATTTTATTAAATATTAAATAATACGATTTAATTAAATTAATTTAGGATTTTATTTTAATTGTAGTGCAGAGAGAGGGCTTCGGATAAGATCACATGAAGAAAGAGAAAGAGAATCATTAATTAGTAATATTAATCATATATAATATCCCATATACCCTCAACTACCTATTAATTACTAACTCTCTATCAACTAACTAATCCATTGTCAGCCAATAGTAATGACTTAAGAATCTCCTTAAATAATGAGGGTTAAGGATCAGATATGACCCACTCAATTCTTCATTATATTATATATTGATGCATAAAAATAACTTTTTTTCATGCAACGTTGTGTTTCATCATAAATTCAAGATCCACCTGTATCCAAACATTTACAGAGCATATGAAACTCATAAAAAGGGCGACCGGCCACAAGTAATATGATCTTTCTAATCTTATTTTTCTCCTTTCAAGTTTATTTTCTTTTTAGTTTCCCTACATGAGGAGATACCAGTCATGAGGGAGTAAAACAGTAATACAATTGAGAGGTCCTCTGGAGCAAGAACTCTTTCACTTTATGAGCAGGTCTATATGATATGCTACTTTCTGAGTTCCTTTTCCTCTTCTCTGAATCCTGTTAGGAGTCTAAGTTTGTTTTCACTTCACCCAAAATTAGAGCTCAATAAATAAATCGTGCACTTCCTAGTTCTGCTTCATTGTAGCGCCCACCAACCGTTTGATAATTTGTCAACGAAAACAAACATTTATGTACGTCCGGTTTGTAATTTCCAACTCAAGGAATCCGGAGCAATATCTTTTCTCTGTACAAAAGTGGAATCCACTTCCGTCTCTCACCATAACCCCACAAAGGAAGTGCGCTTCCTCAATGTCCCATTGCTTCTCCTTGGGAAACCCTTTTCGTAATCGATCCATATATGTTGCAGTCAATAGATCATTTAATTTACAGTCATGGTTACCTTGATGATTTTATGCCACAAAGCCCTCAGCTCACTCATTCTTGTTGCAAGTTTGCAGAGTTCATCTCTATACTGCCATCACCTGCATGCTTTATGAACCTCATGAGATTCATTTGCATTTCCATGCAACTCTGGATTATCTTTCGAAGGTCTGCAACTTCAGTCCTTAATTGTTCCATGCTTCCTCTTAGTTCATTCACCACATCCACATCCTATACAAAAATGACATATCAGTATATATTGTCAAACCTCTCTATCGATATACAAAAATAGAATAAGTGAACACATACATACTACTTACAACGGATGCACGACTTTTAGAGCATGAACATCTTCTTCTATCCTGAGTGTTCTTCGAGAATGGTTGACTAGGTAGTAGTTGGGAAGCTGAATTTGAGAATTGATCATACTCATCCATCTCTTTCCTTGTAGCGTAATTCCATAACCTGCAGTTTGGAGAGGTTGAGAAGATTGATTGAGAGGACTGGTCAAAAAGATCGTTGGCTTCAATAAACTTTCGACTTGTTGAGCTCTCTTGCTGATGTTCTTCTTGATCCATATATTCTTCTTCGTCTTCTGATTCCTCTTCTTTCGTCTCCTCATCAGTTTCTTCTTTTTCTCCAATGTTTTTAGCTTGTTCGTGTTGCTCTTCTTGAACCCCATTCTCTTCTCCTTCATTAATCTCCTTGCCAAAGTATGAAAGTGCCACTTGTGCCATCTTCTCTTGGTTATCATCAGCCTCTAATTCATTTTGTGTAGCTTGAATCCGAGCTCGAGACAACATCAACCTATCAATCCTTTCTCGAAATCCGCTTGAAAGAAAACTCGACACAGTTTTCCTGTTTTTTTTTTTTTTTCAAAATTTGTTAAAAACTAGAGAAAATTTATTATATGATTCTTGTCATAAGGTGAAAGTTTATTCGTACCTATCGAGGAGTTCCTTTATGTCTCTGTTTTCACAACCAGTGCTTAGCATTTGGTCATACCAGGATCGCCTGATGTCTTCCCAATAGCTACGTGGCCTAGCTATGTCACTAAACCAATCATACGGAGCTTCCTCAAAATACTCTTGTTGATCATCATCACCTGCTCCTTCCTCTTGTTCTTCCTCCATTTCACATTCTAGGTTTCTTTCTTTCCATGCTTCTACCGAGCTATGAATTGCACTATCAGCTAGAATGGGGATATCAAGCAATTCTCTTATTTGTTGTAATTTTGACTTCTTCATTTCTTCTACCTCCATACCACACTCTAAGTTTCTTTCTTTCCATGCTTCTACTGCACCATGAATTGCAATATTCTCAAAAATGGGAACATCGAGCAATTCTTTGCTTTGTTGTGATTTTGTGTTCTCTAGTGGCAATTCTATACTTTCTTCCTCTTTCGGGTTACCTTCAAGAAGGTGAGACTTGTCAATGACATGATTCTCCGCCACAAGTATGGCTTCATGTTTTGTATTCCTATTATTAGACGAAGGCGTACTCTTTTGGCAAACAATTTTCTCTATTGGTAGTTCATTATGCTCTACTGACTCCTCTAGCTTCTTCTCTTGTTCTGAAATCATTGTACTCGTCATGTCTATACCAGCGGCCCTTTCTTGGGATTGACTCTCACAAATAGGTTGAAGTTGGGTCAAAGAAGTGTCTATTTGTTTGCAATGTTTCTCTGGCTTGGGTGACATTCTTGGCACAATTACTTCTTTGTCCCCAATTTTTGCTTGCTCAATTGATGCCTTTAATCTCTCCCTTTTTTATTGCAACACCAAATATCTCTCATTAGTTATCCCCGCAACTTCTCAAGAAAAACCTCATTAAGATTAGGAAAATTTTAACTTACCTGAGTTGCATAATGCTAGAGCTATGTTGCGGCGGTTTACAAGATGGTGGTACTGGTACTGGTCGAGTTTGAACCCCTATGTCACGCCTGAGAAATCTCAACTTTAATAGAGACTGCAGTAATTCATGGTAACATAAATACTATGCATTGCATTAGAAAATTTTGCATTTGTAACATGTGTAGAAAGGCTACTAAATATGGTTTATATATATCATTGAACATGAAATAGTACATAAATACATATTAATTGTAAATATATTTTCAAATTACAATTTTGAGGATTCACCTGAATGCGACCACGATAACAAAATTTGGAGACAGCCTGACGCTCAGCTAGGGAACCAAGCTCTTTATGGCGGTCATGCTCAATATGGAGGAGCAAATCATGAAATGCTTGGCGACCTCGAATTCTAGGGGAGCTCACCACTAGAGACCATCCTCCTTTATGCTCAAAGCTAGGTTCTGAACTACTGATGGAAGTCCGTCTTGGCGTATCACAACTGCCACCATTCCCAGGATCATGGACATCACATGTTAGTCGTTTGATAATATCTGCAATCCTAACCTTTTCCTTGTCCGAACCAACGTCAGAATGACGATGGTTTATGGATGAAGTCGTGGTCTGAGCAGTTGAGTCCCAATCGGTGAGCCAGTCGTTGTTAGAAATAGAGTCACAAACATCAGAATGCCTGGAAGGCTCTTCTTCCATAAGATTGAAATTGTCTAAACATTTGAGGATTAGGTTTTGGTTAATTTAGTCGTGCCTCCCATATTTGTACCAGGGAAGAAGCCCCAATCTGGCTCTTGGAGGAACAGTACTCGCTCTCGGCTATTGAATTTTGGGAAGATATTACACAATTGCCGACCTCTTTTGAATTTGAAGAAGAGCATGGATTGCTTGATGCCACAACCCAAAGCTCTGACTCCTTATTCTGCCTCTCTATCGTCGATACCATATGCTTTGCCGCCCAGCGGTCCAAGTTTCTTGCCTGTCGGCTACTCACGCGGGTAGAAGAACATGAAGAAGAAAAATTATTCATTGTTTCATTTTTTGGTGGGCTATTACGCTTGCTGCTAGAAATGGTGATGGAATCCAAGCTTTCATTGTTTGGTTGTGCTAAGGAATTCTTATCAGGAGATATAGAGATGCAAGTATGGAGATGGTCTCTAACCAAAACCTCGAGGTTCTTCTGAAAAGCAGCGACGCTGGAGGAATTGGTGTTGCTTGTTTCCCTATTGCATCGATTGGGACGATTCCTATCCCGAAGAACATAGCCAAATGGAGAAGATGATGCAACAATCTCAACCTGGGACGACGCCATCCGAACTCTCTCTCTTTTGTCCCTTGTGAAATTTTTTCTTCATATCAAGGAACTTGAAAAATGGAGTTACAAGAATCATTCACTACTAGCATGAATCATTTGGAAACCAAAATTTTCGAGGGTGGGGAAGATTTTTGAGAAACTCAATCAACATCACAAAATCTGAAACAATACAACCCACCCTCTATTTTAGAAACAAAATCCTAACCAATGAACAAAAGCGAAACAAAGCCGCACGAATTTCTGTCCAAGGAAAAACAAAATCAGGTTTTATTTAGACTAGCACAATCTGCTATCGCCATATTTCCTATTCTTGTGAGACAAATTAACCCGAAGAGAGGTATGAAACAAAAATAGGGGAACAAACATAGTGCCAACATATTGGAACAAACTAAAACAAATTATAAAGAAGGTGAAAAAGGCGGGAGGTTTTGGAGTTTGTGATTTGTGAATGAATTCAATGGAATGGAGAAGAGAGACAGAAAAGGGAGCTAATGAAAGTGCACTTGGAGAGAGTTTACCGATAGTTAAATACAATTTAATATTCAAACCTTTTATTTTACACAATATAATAGTCAAATTTTTTTGAAAACAATCTAATATCTAAATCGTCAACTTTTTGTTTGTTTGACCGTTAGTTGACACTTCAAAAAAGTATGAAGTACGACACTTCATCAATATTCATCGATATCTTCTCTGAAAAACCACCAACATATCTTAGTTCCAAACTCTAGAAGTCTATGACTCCACCATGATGGTATAGAATATCTAAATATTTAGTTATCTGCAATGCCAAAACAAAAAAACAAAGTTGTATTGTGACAATTTCCCCTAAACAAAGCTTTTTTGAAGTGTCAACTAACAGTCAAACTAACGGAAAGTTGACGATTTGGATGTTAAATTATTTTCGAAAAGGTTTGACTATTATATTGTTTAAAATGAAAGGTTTAGATATTAAGTTGTATTTACCTTTACCAACCAAAGAATTTGACTACTAGAATATGTTCATGAGCATTCATGGTTCTACAAGTCGTTTTTCTTGTCCGTGTAGGTTCGTTAATTCTTTAATAATTTTCATATAAATTTGAATTTCATAGTTATGGAGTAAATTTTATGCATATAAGATATAACAAGTTGTTTCCTCAATAGTTGATTATATTGGTTTTTTAATTGTCGAAACTACACGATTGATTGAATGAGTTTGTTTAAAATTCATTTTTATAGCTACGTGATAAATCACGATAATGCAAAAAACATAGTGTTAAACACATGTTATGAATTAGGGCTGGAAAAATAGACCAGACCGTTAGAAAAACTGTGGTCCAAACCGTACCGCACAGTTAGGTCCGGACCGTAGACCGTTAAGTATGGTCTGATCCATGGTCTGTATTATCTTATGTTTTGATCTTTTGGTCTGGTCTGGTCTAGACCGTGGTTTACCAGACCAAATCGTGGACCCAATTGACTTGTTCATACGTGTTAACAGCCCATTCGACCACTCTCCCAACTCCTACAACGACACCCAAGTCTGAACCTTAGTTTTGTGAATCTCGTCCCTCCTTCATTCACAACCACATTTAACCAGAGAGTAGAGATAATCGTGTCTCCATATGACATTATGTTAATGTTTATGACGTTATGGTGCAAGTTGGGATGCTTTTACTTTAAATCTTTGTTATGTACTAAGATTTAGAGTATCAAAATTATTCATGCATGTTAGGATTAATGATTTAAGGCAAATGACAATTATTTTTCCTGGTTATTAGTTCAATTTTTTGTGTGGTTGACTAAACAAATTATTCATTTTTCGTTGAGAGTGGTCTACGTGGACCAGACCAGACCGAACCAGACCGCATAGGCGTGGTCTGGACCAAACCTTATAGTCTGTGGTCTAGTCTGTGGTCTATACTTTAACCTCTCGGTCTGGACCATAGACCGTATATGTGGTCCGGTCTGGACCAGACCGCACCGTTTCCCAGCCCTATTATGAATAGAATAAACAAGTCTACTTTTTTTTGGTAGTAGAATGATTGATCTTGTTTTATTTGATATGTTATAGTTTGGATAATTTTGACCGACTATAAACATTGCATAACTTGAAACATATATTTTTATAATGTATTGCAAACTGTTTCCTCAATATTTGATTATACTGGATTGATTAATTGTTGAAACTACATGATCGATTGAATGAGTTTTGTTAAAATTCATTTTTATGGCTACCAGATAAATCATGATAATGCTAAAAACATAGATATTAAACACATGTTATGAATAGACTAAACGGGACTAATTTTTTTCCTTTTGATGCCAGAATGATTGATCTTCTTTTATATGATATGTTATAATTCAGATAATTTAGACTTACTATAAACATTGCATAACTTGAACTATATGTTTTTGTGGATTTCTTCTCTGCTTTGTTAATTTTAACATGAAGAGAATTTACATTAATTTATAACTTGCTCAAATTTAATTCAGGCATGCGAGTGTGAATTTTGAAATAGATATAGTTAGTTATTACTTATGAGATTAGTTGCGAATCCTCTAACAGATAAACACCATTCTAACTACTATAAGAACCATTATATTGAAATAATAATACACAACCTGAATTTATTTAAAAAATAATTTAATAATATTGCTCCAAACCCTAACATAAAAACTGTCCAACCACCTCTCCCCAGTCCCCACTAACTGCTAGGGGTGTTCAAATGGTGTGGTTACCGTGATAACCGTTTTAATCGATAGTATTTGGCTAATTTGGATAATTGGTTTGGTTTAGTTAAAATTATTAGCTTATTTGGTTTTATTGGTTTTATTTCAGACACTCCTAACCAATCAAACCAAATTAATCAGTTAAGTAATTATTCATATATCTAATATATATTATATACACATTTTTTATAATTGGCATAACCACTCAAGAGCCAAAATTTCTTTCTTTTAGGCTCGTCAACAATATAGTTCAATATTGTTCCTATATTTTATATTTGTATTTGTAGAGGGTAGACTATGATATATGAATGCCCAATTTAGATAAAACTCATTCAATATATTAGATGAAAACTTGAAAGGAATGTCTTTTTCAACCTATGATAATTGCTAGGAGACTAATTCAATTCACACAATCACAACAATTAATTAGCTCCATACTATTGACATATATTTTTGTTAGGGGTTAATTGCAAGGTTGGTTACTGGAATTACAAAAAACGTTCATGTTTAGTCACTACAAATATTTAATTCTATTCGTGATCACTATAATTAATCAAACAATCCAAGTTTGGTCACTCTCCGTTACCTTCCGTTAGTCTCCGTTAACCCCATTAGATTTTTGCTTATGTGCCTAACATAAATGTCTAGTCACCCAATTTTAACAAATAAAAAATAAAAAAACAAACCTCCACGTCAGTAAGCAGTTACATCAGATAACCGAACCCGCCCAACCCCACTATTGACCCAACTCAAAACTCGGCATAATTTTTACCAACAGACCCCTCCCTGCAGAAAGGAAGCTAGCTCTGGTCGTCTTCTTCATCATCTCGCGAGGAGGGTTCTTGCGGTGACCTCCAATCTGCCATTGTTGTTGATTGCTAGCGAGTAGAATCAAAGCGATGAGTGAAGCCTTGAAAAGAGACTACCAAATCTGCGAGGAGATCGACCGGAGACGCTTCGGCGTCGTCTTCAAGTGCATCTCCTTCATCGCAGGCTCCCACTGCAATTAACCCACACCCTCACTCTCGACCGAACCTAAGCTCCCGCGCCTCGTCTCCCCAAATCCTCACCTCGTCCACCTCCACGCCGACTACGAAGACTATTCCCATCTCCACATGGTCACCAAAATCTGCTCCAAATCCAACTTCCACGCCCTAATCCTCGCCAACGGTGCGTTTGCGAAGCACGAAGTCAGATCCATTTTCGCCGAACTCATGGCCGCCGTCTCCTACTGTAATTAACCTTCCTCCCCTTCCTAGAACAGAGCAACCACAGTCCCTCCATCCCCTTTCTCCTCGTGCAAAATCCAATTTTTGAATCACCACGGGGGTAGAGGAAACAACAACGCAACTCTCGCTCGGTCGCTCCGACATCCCTTGTTACCTCTGCGGGTTGTAGCTCCTTCCGTCGATTTCATTCAGCGACACCAGAAGGTGGAGAAGAAGAAGCCACCGTCGGAGAGGTGGCGTCGCGTGGAAATCTGATTTGCGATTTGGGAATCTGCTGAATTGGAGGTGTAGAATCGAGAATCTGCCGTCTCTGGGCTGGCGTGGAGAACTGGAGATATGATTTGGGAGGTAGGGATTTTTTCCAGTTGGGTCAATTAGAGGAAGATGAGGAAGGATCGGGTCAAGGGTTGTGTTGGGTAACTTATGTTTGATTAACTAAAATGACATGGCAGGTGGATTTTTGTTTTTTACTTCTTTAATTAGCTGATTATGCACTTCTGTTAGCCACGTAAGCAAAAAACTGACGGCATTAATGGAAACTAACGGAAGATAACAGAGAATGACCAAACTTGGACGGTTTGATTAATTATAGTGACCACGAATGGAATGAAATATTTGTAGTGACTAAACATGAACGTTTTTTGTAATCCCAGTGACCAATCTTGCAATTAACCCTTTTTGTTAGATGAATATTTATATTGACTGTAAGATAATTATATTAGTTGCGTGTATTTCTGTACGGGTTAACTATAACTATGTGTTCATTTCTATGTTTTATTCATCATATAAATTATGAATTGATGCATTAACCAAAAAATTTCTCACTTGATGATAATGTGATGTTATATTGGTTAATTTGATTAAGCAATTAACCAAACCGAATAAATTTTAGTTTGGTTAATTTGGTTGTTATATTAGTTTGACGGTTTGGTCATGATATTGTATTCCATAATTAATAAAATTTTAACTTGTTTAATTTGATAATTACCATAGTAAACATTTGGACACCCCCGCTTATCCTCCCCCCTCCCCCCATTTCCAGAATCTCTCTATACAACAATGGAACCTTTCCACTCACTACTTAGAAAACACTACTACCTAACTTAATTAGTAGCAGTTTTGGTGGTTTATAGTAATGCTTTTATAATGGTATGTAGTTATTTTAATGTAAACATGAGTTTTTAGCAATTTTTAATTAGAAGTAAATTATTTTAAGTAGTGATTTTATTGTCATAACTAGAGATTTAGTGATTTGTAGTGAGTAATGATTGCTGATTTTTGTAAGAATCGCGAATGACAATGGAAAAAAATACTCCAAATAAACAAATAATCCAACTACACAAAAGCTATTGAAATAAAGAAATATCAATGCTGGTTACAAGAATGATGAATCATCACTACTAAATAAACTAGTTTTATACCCGCCCGTTGGACGGTGTGTTTTACTTGATTGTTCTTTGTTATTGTATTTTTATTAGTTTATAATTCATGTAAATTATAATAATATGCATGGAATTGTTAATCGTAATTACCTTATTTCAGTTATTGTTTCACATGTTTTTATCTATCGTTTATTTATTAAAAAAGTTAATTTTCCTAAATTAACTATTTGTAGACCTTTTGTTTATTGATTTATAATTTGGTATCGAAACTGCTTCATAAGACATAAGTATTGGATGTCAGAATTATAAAAATAAAAATAATTATATCACACGTTGATTCCTTATCGGACTCATGGAGAATATTACAATCTAATTTTTTTTTTGTATATCATGCAACATTAATTGTCTTTACACTTTTGGAAGAGAGAGGAACCACATTTTCATCCACATCGTCAATCTTTAGCTTACTCATTTAATTTACCTTGAAAATATTTAACAAAACCAACAACAAAACTAACTATCAGTTGCAAAAAAAAAAACATAGAACAATATATTCAGCAAACCAAACCGCTTATACACACAATTTATATTTATTAGAGAGCTACAAATTCCTTGAGTGGAAGTCGTGAACTTCAATACAACCTAGATCATTCTATCTTGCATAGTCCCCATTCATGAACTGGGTTTGATGCATCAATCAACTTCAAACAATAGTAGATAAGAAAATAGTTAGGCCAAAATCAACACTAAGAAAATAAACAATTGTCATTGGAAATGTGTAGAAATTTAAAGAACATCGACACAGACAACCTAAAGATTACCACCACCATTTTTTCTTAATCACCTTTAAACATCCCACATATATTTCCTTCTATTTATAACCTGATGCAATATCGACTAGCAAGATATTTACTTCCCGTGATCCAAAAATGAAGATTTATATTCGGTGTTATTAGTATAAATTAGGAACATTCTTGATGGATAAATTGTGTTCACAATTTATTTGGTGCTGGTTATTATACATGAGAAAAGCTAAAAGCTACTTTGTGGAAGGTTAATAAACCACGTGGGAATGAGGCATGGAGTGAAATTGATTTGGTCCATTAATTAAGGTAGTTTGATCCATTAATCAAAAGCAATCTCCCTCAGACAATGAATTTCGCAGCTGCTTCACTTGGTGGGACGGAGTTACAATTCGACTAAGGACAAGGAATATGAATGAGTGTGGAGTCAAGGTACGGAGCAAAGTTGATTTCCGCGGTGGAGACGGAAAGATGGCAACGTGTAACTTAAAGTTTTAATTATTTTATTTGTTTGATTTATATTTTTTCTAGTTAGTTTGTGATTTGTTTTACTATTCTTTTTAGGTTAGATTTATGTTTTTGAGATCTCTATAAATAGAGGGTGTAAGACCTACGAATTTTGTACCCCAATATTCAAGTTATCAATTAAGAGTTTTTACCCGTATTCCTTAGTGAACGTTTGTGCAAGCTTCTGTCGAGAATCTCCAGGAGTTTCACGTGTCTCTTATCAACTAGAGAACGTGTCTAGTTGTGGCGAGCTTCTACCCAATAGTGATTGGCCTTATTCACGAGTGGGTGATTGTTTGATTGGTTTCGTATGCCAATTGGCCTTTCACACGAGTTGGAATCTGTTTGATCGTGTTCCATATCTATCTTTTATTTTCAAGTTGTCAAGAAAAACTTCAAAAATTCCGTAAAAAGAAGGAAGGTTGCGTACTTTGGTCATATAATCCGAGTTCGAGGGTTCTCTTCGGATTTGGATCACATCATAACCCCACTGCTACATACTACTCACTTATCGTATCATCATTATATGGCTAGGTAGTAGCATGTTGCTCTTGAACATAACAAACATAAACAAACATCCTCTGATGGAGTTTGGCAAGATGACAACCCTCATAACTCTGTTTTCCATTTAGCATCCAAGGAATCATGTTGCGATAGGCCTCCAAGGAAAATGATCAATTGTTCAACCCAAAGAGAGATTCTCTAAGTCCCATAAATTAACCCTTCCAAATATCTATTACCTATTTTTATAAAAGTATAAGGCAAGAGAGAGAATCATATAAAAATACTTGGAAATCACCAAGGGATGGAAGAGGTGGTAAAGGCACAGGATTGTGTCTAGGAGGTCCTTGATCGATCCTTGGCAGTCGCCCCTTTTGCGTTACCCCTTGGTGGCCACCGCCAAGGCTGTAAGCTCGTATTAAACTTTTCCCGAGTTTTCGGGTATCTATTGGGGTTGAGGTTTGCTGTCGCAAGATGGATTTCTCCCCGTATAGAATAAACTACTTGGAAAATGAAGAAGAAATACATTTGCAAAATTTAGTGGAAAACTTACGACCCCACCTTCATAATCTGGAAGAAATTAAGAAAAGAATAGGAAGAGATACATGATGGGCAGAAGAGTAGAATGGGAAGAGATACATGATGGGCAGAAGAGTAGAACTCAGCCATTTAATTGTAGGCAACCACATATTGTTGGGGAAGAGAGATCAATCACCAGTTGTGCATCAAGGGGAAAAGGGAATAGTCGACAATGCTTTGTGTTCACAAATATACGATGATTTTTCCCCCGTCAACAACTCAAAAATATGTTACAACTGCTCAATCATTTTCCATCTAATCATTGCTTCATGTAACTCCCTCCCTATTATCCACAAACAAACAAAAAACCACATATGTAGTATTATTTCCTTCCTTTATCATTGTGTAAAAAGTAAAGAAGATAAATATTAGAAATCTAAAAAAATAATTTAGTAAATAAGAAGAGAGTTTTGTTTGTTTTACAGAACTTGATCCTTTTTTTCCTTTTCAATGTTGGATTTTCTTTTGAGAGAGAGAAGCTTTCAACAAAGAGATAGAAGATAATCAAAGATTACATTAATTGGAACTTTAACATTGTTATTAACTCAATCTATGTTTTATTTCTAATAATAATGCATTAAAGTGCAAGAAAAAAAATATTGCAATTATTATTAGAGGTTATCCACATTGGACGAAAGAGAGCTAGCCATGTGCTTATATGGCACTAATTTAGTTTTGAATTCCTATAATATTAAGTAAGGATAAGGATGCTAAACAAGACAAAGCCTTTCTTTCCTTCATTTCGTTTTGTACATATGTTTCTCTTCTCTTGTCCCAAATGACCAAATATAAAGAATGAAATATTTTGACTACGCACATCCAACGCTCGTTTGGGGTGAAAGCTTCACCAGAAAGACCCATTGACCCGTCTTGACCCGATCTGTTCCTAAGAGTCGGGACGGGTCAATTTGTCTACAAGGTCAGATTAGAGACGGGTTATTTGTTGACCTTAAAAGGGTCGGGACAACTTAGAGACGAGTCACTTTTTGATCCTGTGACCCTTAGCAACAACAAATATCTCACGGCACATTGGACCTTTTTGTAAAGTTTTAAAAGTTTAGGTACTAACTTGTAAGAATAAAAAATTTTGGGTACCAAAAACGTAAGTTTACCATCAAAATTTATGGAATTATTTGTAAAAAAAAATAAATTTAAGGTGCTAAATTGTAATGAACAAAATTTTGGGTACCAAAACATAATTTGTAAAAAAGTAGTGTGTTGATTAGGGTCGACCCACTAACCCAGCCCGTCTCAACCCTTGAGCGTTAGACAGGGTCAAGAAGGAGACAGGGAAGGGACGGGTCAGTTATATATCTTGACCCTTTAGGGACGGGTTAGACAGGGTTAGAGACGGGTCAAGGACGGGACAAGCAAATTTTCAGCACTTCCATTGCGCCATCCAGTCCTGCAATCCACTGCTAATTGGAGTCTACAACTATACAAGGTTGCCTTCTCCTCCTCGACAAAATCGAAGCCCCAAATCCTTCCTGTGAAACGCACATATACGATATATCTATGTGTAGGACTGCAAATGAGCCGAGTTGAACCGAGTTTTACCCCCAGTTTGAGCTTGACTCGTTAACAAATGAGCTGAGCTCGAGCTCGAGCCATTTATTAACGAGCCGAGTCGAGTTCGAGTTAGGCTTGTTTACTAAATTCTTAGATCGTATTTGATACATTCATTTTGTATGTCGTGTATGGTACATGTGATTGATGTAACGATTAAAACATAATCAAATGTTGAACATTAATTAATCTTATATTATAATTTGTAGGTGTCATATTGTTTATTTAATAAATTTTAACTAGTTCATATTGTTTAGTTAATAAATTTTAATTAGTTCAAATCATGTTATTTCATAGTATCGAAATAATTTTGTACATAATTTCTTTATAGAATTAAAAAAGGGGTATTTTCTTACATGTTCAACATGTTAAACTTCACATAATGTGAGATATATAATTGGCAATATTCATCTGTGTAGCCAAAACTTTGACGTTTGTGACAATAATAGCCATTTTTGGGGAAATACCAATAATAGCCATAATTTTGAAAGTTTGATGACAATAATAGCCATTTCCGTCCAAAACTTTAACGGTGTTACAAAATTCCGTCTGTCAGGTTAACGGTACGCTGACGAGGATGCCATATCATTGCCACATCAGCAACAACCCAGCCTTAATTGTCACGTAGATGCCATGTCACAATCTACTTCAAAATTTATTTTTATTTATTTTTCAATGATAAAAAATAATTATTTTATTTTATATTTATCTATCTCTTTCCTCCCTGCCTTCTTCGTCTGTTGCCTTCTCCCTCTTAACAAACCGACCATCGTCGATCTTCTTCATCAAACTTCTTCCCCGATTCTCCCGCAGGCCCGCCCCACGGCCCCACCCATCCGATTGTCGCTCCAGCCCATCTCTTCAATCGCTTCAGTTGACTGGTCGGGCATATCTGAGAGTCTCGATTTCGCCTCAACCCTAGAACTTGGGGAAAGAGGGTCATTGACGAATTCGATAGCGGCAATTAGGCAAACGACGAGACTCATGACGATTGGGGGCAGGGTCGTAGAGGACGGGAGTAATGGCGGCGACTTCTTCCAATACGACGGCGGCGGGATCTAGAGATGAAGGGAGGTGGTGGCGGCTGAATCCTTCTTTCCTATTTCACTCAACCAAGAAAGATTGGGGGCAAGGTTGTAGCGGACGAGAGCTACGATGCGACACAATCCAAGCAGCAGCCGAAAGGATGTGGGAGTTTCAAAAAAGCCCCTTCCCCCTGCCCAGTTCGTCTAAAAATCTCACGCCTTCTTCGTCTCTCTCTCTCAGAACACTCTTTCACTTCTGTCGATCCGAATCTCGATTGCAGATTCACTCGGCCTTTGCCATCGCTCGCTTGCCGGGAAACCCTCGTTCACTTTGCTTCAATGGCTTCCGCACCTGTTGTGAATCCGAATTAACCCGACGCCGACGAAGTAGGTGGCAGAGGATTAGGTATTCGAGGCAGTTTTTCTGCCGCCGGAGGAGGAGCCCTTTGCCAAATCCCTAGTCGCAGAGTCCACTTCTCCTCGACGATGATTGGTGCTGTGAGGTTCCCATTTTGGGTTGTTCTGGGTTGTTCCAGAGTGCGGCTGCTGCGTACGCGGTCCTCGGAGCAAAAGGCGAAAGATGAGGCGGAGGGGGAAGGAGGAGGCAGTGAAGGAGCGGAATTGGAAGATACGGCGGCATCTCTAGTGGTGTTTAAGTTGTCGATCAGAGAAGGAAGTTGTTTTATTTATTTGTTTGTTTTTATTTTTCATAAATCCAATGACCCAGCCATTCGAAAAATTCTAAATTTTCATTATTGTTATTTTATTTTATTTTTTAATTAAAGCCACGTGGGAATACGCACGGGACGAAAATTGCCAGATCGGACAAGCCGTTAGTCCAGTCAGCACGTTAACTAACACCGTCAAACAATTGGACGAAAGTGGCTATTTTCGGTATTTCATCAAATGTGGCTATATTTGGCCAAACCGTCAAAGTTTTGGCTATACAAGTGTATTTGGCCTATATAATTTAACAATCCTATGAATTATGAAAGTCCAAATTAGATCAATTCGTCCATAAGTCGGTGATCAAGTTGGCCTCAAACCACAATGTTGAGACATCCCATGAGCTCTAAATGAGCCAACTCACGAGTTGAGCTCAACAAGCCCCCGAGTCGAGCTAGCTAGCGAGCTTCGCGAGCTGAACAAGGCTAAGCTCAAGCTTGGCTTGCTAGTAAATGAGTCGAGTTTTGAATGAGTTTTTCTCAATTCGAGCCTCGAGTTGCTCGCGAGTAGCTCGACTCATTTGTAGCCCTACCTGTGTGAAGTCCAAAAAACAAAAGAAAGGTGAAATTAGTGGGTAGATGCATTTGGCTACTTAACATAATCTTGTGGGTTGATGCATCTAGTTGATTGATTAGGTTTCAGAATCGATATAACTTTTGCCCTAAATTTAGAGGTTGTTTGTTTGTAAGTTTTTGAAAAATGAAAGATTTATGTAAAATCCTGGATTTTAGGGATGAAGGATTACGTGAGATTTTGTCATTTTGGATTTGTGTTGGATTTTAAAAAGTGCTTGTTTATTGTTGGATTTCATATTGGATTTGTGTCTATGAGATATATTATTTATAGGTTGAATTATATTTGTATACTTAATGATTTGTGTACTTGATATTCTATATAAGAAATATTGAAAAGACATGAGGATAGATCCGTCATTACCATCATGGATTATAGCCTCTCACAAAATCCCAACTAAATATATGAGATTTTATAATCCGTGGATCCCATGGATTTTGACCTCATAATAATCCTACATGCATGGGGCCCACACTAGGGGTGTTCAAATGGTTACCATGGTTATAACCAAACCAAATAAGGCTAAATTTCATTAACCATGGAATACAATATCATAACCAAACCGTCCAAACTAATACAACAACCAAATTAACCAAACTAAAGTTTAATCGGTTTGGTTAATTGGTTAACCAGATTAACCAATATAAAATCACATTATCATTAAGTGAGAAAAATTTCGGTTAATTTATCAATTCACAATTTATATAATGAATAAAACATAACAATCAATATTTGGTTATAGTTGACCTTTAACATAAATACATGCAACTTAGGCAATTATCTTACGGTTAGTATAGAAGTATTCACCTAGCAAAAATTTATCACAATGATATGGGTTAATGAATTGTTGTGTTTGTTTAAATTGACTTAGTCTTTTAGCAATTTTCATAGGCTGAAAAAGACATTGCTTTCAAGTTTTCATCCAACATAATGTATGAGATTTATCTAAATTAGGCGTTCATATGTTGTGGTCTACAATCTACATAAAAAAATATACATTATAGGAACAATATCAAGCTTTATATTTTATGAGTCTAAAAGGGATGAACGTTTAACTCTTAAGTGGTTATTCAAAGTATTAAGTATGTGTATATATTAGATATATGGCTAATTGTTTATCTGGTTAATTTGGTTTGACTGGTTAGGAGCGTCTGAAACCAAACCAAACCACCTAAACCAAACAAGCAAAAAACTTTAACCAAACCAAACCAATTATCCAAATTAACCAAACCAAATTATCCAAATAATACTGGTTAAAACGATTACCATGGTAATCACACCGTTTGAACACCCCTATCCCACACTCCATAATCCAACTTTCCTTTAACACCAAACATGGGTTTTGTACATAATTCCATGGGTGTGGGATTGTAATAAAAAATCCGTCTTAGTAAACGACCTCTTAGAGCAACTGAGCAAGTATGAAATCACATTGAGCAAACTTGCTATAGCAAGTCAGCCCCGCTACCACCTACTGATACCGTTTTCTCATGATAAAATTGGGCTTTTTTACTACTATAAACTTGGGCTTTGACTTCAGAATCAAAAGGGAAGCCCACATCGTTAAACGACTGACGTGGCAAGATCAACGGGGGCTTTTGTTTTTTATGAGCAGTTGAGCACCGATGCCAAGAAGAAAATGTAAAAGGAACAACTGAACAACAACAGCGAGCTCTGTCGACAGACTGAAAGCGAGAAGCGGAAGAAGACGATGGCGTGGAGCGCGACGATGATCGGAGCCCTGCTGGGAGTGGGCACCCAGATGTACTCCAATGCTCTGAGAAAGCTACCCTATATGCGCCGTATGTATTGTCTCGTCTGTTATTTTTTGAGATTTTGGGCGTCTAGGTTTTCATTTCTCCCCCCTGCTTGCGAGCGATTGAATTCGGGTAACGCTTTCCTGATCGTTGTAGATCCGTGGGAGCATGTCGTCGGAATGGGATTGGGGGTGGTGTTCGTGAACCAGCTTGTGAAATGGGACGAAAAGCTTCAGCAGGACCTTGACAAGATGCTTGAGAAGGCTAAAGCTGCCAACGAGCGCCGCTACCTGGGTACGATTTCTCTGTTTTTATGTCCACGCATCTCTATTCCAAGCAATCCTTTCTCGACATTTTTTTTTCTCTATTGCACCCCACTTTTGGAAAGTCATTCCCTTAAACGAGGAATTAGTTTCTCGATCAGATACCCCTCTTGATTTGATGTGAGTCGTTCGTTGAATGTGTTCGTCCTTTTTTCTGTTCGCTTTCTAGTTAGAGGTTTTAATGCGTAGAGTAATGTTTGGCTTGTGAATGACTTGAGAGCAAGATCGTGTATTTTGTTCGTTGTGAGAGGCGGAGAAACTATGATTTCTAGTGGCATGTATGGAGGTAAGACAACGAAGAACAGAAATGTATTGTATAATTCAGACCAATTTAACGCGCTATCAGTTCAAAGGATGACCATTAGTCCATTTGTTCATAATTTTCCACATGATTGTAGCATTCCGATACTCTGGTTGCTTCTCTTGTTTTCCTTGACTATTCCTTTCACGGATTTAGATCGTAGTGTATGCATTTTAATCTGTAGTTGTCATTTTTGCTTCTGATTTACTGAGACATTTTGTTGGTAGGAAGGTTTTCACGGTTAATGGAATTGCTGTTGATGTGGCTAGAGTACATTTCACAAAATTAGCCAGTAACTGAAATCATGCGTCTATTTTTTACTCTTCAGAAGTTATACTTAAGATTAGTGTGAGGGGAATGAATAGATGATTGACAAGTTATGAAGTGACGGTGTTTTTTTTTTTTTTTTTGGTATAGATTTTGAATGTTATATTTTATTCCAAGATGCCCTTTGTGTTCCACAGTTTTTGGGAGACATTTGGTCATAGGAAGGTTCTGGTTTATCCCCTTTATTTTTACTTACTAATGGAATCGATGAGCTCTAAAGAGTACATCTCACTAGCTTAGCCGATACATGAAATCATTAATCTGTTATGACTAGTAAAACTTTGCTTCATATTCCCAGACACATAATGGAGAAGTAGTGGCGTGACGTGTTTTTTTTTTATAGATGTTTTAATGGATCCATCCATTGAAACCAGAGTACCAGATAGAAGATGTTCGCTCCCTTTCATTCCTACTCCTAGGTTTTCTGCATGTTTATTCATGCCTCTGTTGATGGTATCTTTTACTCGCTGTTAGAAATTACTTTTACTTGCTTAACCTATACAGTCTCTATTGCCCATTTTTCTTAGTATACATCTTATATAAGCTTACAAGAACCTTTATTCTTGCAGAGGGAGATGACGATTAGTGTTTTTGGCTTTGATGCCCTGGTGAATCGTTCCAGCGGTGTTTGCATTTTCCTAAAAATCTGGGCTTGAACCGATGTCCTGGCATTGCTGTGTGATCTTTAATATGGTTTTTCCTTGCTCTGCTTTTGTAGTTTTAAGATTGTTTAGCAGTTTTACTGATGTTTTCCTCAAGCACAGACTCGTGAATTTCGCAATTTTCGGTGAATAATGAGAGGCAACTATTGATATCTCCAAAGCTATATCAGACTCATTTTCATTCCTTTCCTCTGCTGCTATAGTTTTAAGGCTGTTCAGCAGTATGATTCAGTCTGATTGTTCAATTGCATGCTGCATTTCATGTAATTACAAGATCCATTGAGTGATATGTTGTATCTGTGTGATGATTGTAGCATGTAAAACTACTTGGGAAGATTTTGTTGATCTCTGCAAAATATCCAATGTTGAATTTCACTAACGATGTGGCACAATCACAATCAGATGGTAATCAGAATGGCTGTCTCGTACTCGACGATATGAATACTACTACAATTGGCAATTTTATTTTCAACATAGCAGTAATTCACTTTAACTGGATGGAACAACCCCTCTTCCATGGTCTAGCCATCAGTGTTCTTCTCCAAATCCACCATTCGGTACCTCACCAGATGATTCAGCTGGTCGCATGCTTGTCTGGACGATGGCCGCCCTTGCGGAAGAGTTCTCGTGCACTGCAATGCAATCTCCAGCACCTGGTATGCTGCACTCTCTTCCCCTGGCAACAGTGGCTTCAACGAAGGATCAATCAACTCCTCACGACTAGTTCCTCCCATTTCCATATTTTTCTCCACCCACCTCACCATGTCCATATCCACACCAAAACTTGAATCTGTTGGTGCTCTGCCGCTCACAAGCTCGATCAGCACGATCCCCATGCTGTACACATCGCTCTTCTCCGTCGCCTTCAACGAGTAAGCATACTCTGTAAAAACCACCCATCCAAAGCCTAATCAGAATCATACACTCAATTGGGAAAAAAACCCCAGAAATTAGAAAAGAGTGGAGAGAGAAGGGTTAAACTACCTGGGGCAATATAGCCATAAGATCCAGCAAACAATGAATTCGATTCAGTGGTACTGGTGGTGTCGTAGAACTCCACTACGGATTTGGCAAGTCCGAAATCACCGAGATGTGCTTCCATGTCGGAATCAAGAAGCACATTGCTGGATTTGATGTCTCGATGGAGGATCATCGGCACACAGTCATGGTGAAGGTATTCCACACCCCTTACCAATCCCAAAGCTATCTGCATTCTAACTTCCCAGTCAAGGCACTGCTTCCTCTTGTTATTATTCACACCAGGCTGCCTATGCAGCCAGTCCCACAAGCTCCCATTCTCCATGTAATCATATATCAATAGATTAAAGCCAGCTCCCCTGTTGCAGCAGTATCCCATCAGCTTCACCAGATGTCTGTGCCGAATCCTCCCGAGAGTCTTCACTTCCCTGGCAAAGCTCTTGTTGAACATCAGCTCATCTTTCCATGGCACCTTCTTAACCGCCACCGTGTCTCCATTTCGGAGCTCGGCTCTGTAAATGGTTCCAGAACCTCCCGACCCGATCACAAACTCGTCCCCGAGATGGTTGGTGGCTTCCATGATGTCATCCCACCTGAACTCCCTCTTCATACTACCAGGATTCAGGAACAGCGGCCTCCGGTGAGCGTGGGAAGATTTCGAAGAGGAGTAAATGCAGCTGACATCACTCCTAGCTCGCAGATATTCCCTTCTTCGCTTACAGAAGAAGGTGAGTCCTAGTCCCAGCAGGGCAAGTGCAGCAAGTGTCGTTATCGCGGAGAGCACAACGATCGCTGCCTCGCTTAGACTCGAATGCTTATTAGCTGACCGGCGGCACTGATCAAGAGGGCCTCCGCATAGCTTGGAGTTGCCTAGAAATGAATCAGCCTTCCAGCGCTGAAACCGGTCGCCCAAATCACCTTCCAGGCGATTGAAGGACACGTTGAAGTATCCAAGACTCCTTATCTCGCCGACTTGGGGAGGCACTCTGCCTTGGAGCTGGTTGTGGGATAGATCAAGAGCTTCGAGGGTCGACAATTTTCCGATTGAAGGTGGGATCGAGCCGGTTAAGTTGTTGTAGCTCAAGTCCAGAATGATCTGAAGCTGCTGCAGCCGTCCAAGCTCCGGGGGGATTTCCCCACTGAAGCTGTTGTGCGACATCCGAAGCTCAAGTTGCTTGCTCAAGTTGCCAAGCGCAGGAGGGATTTGTCCTGAGAACTGATTGTGGTCAAGTCTGAGGAAGTTGAGTACTTCCAGGTTGCCAATTTCGGAAGGAAGAGTCCCGTTCAGGGAGTTCCCGTCCAGGTAAAGAAGCATCAAGTTGGAGCACTTGAAAAGCTCTGGAGGCAGAGGTCCTGAAAATTGATTCCTCGACAGCTTCAGCTCCCCTAGCAGTGGCAACGTTCCGAGCCAGGCTGGAATGGAACCGGCTAGACGGTTGTCGTTCAGGTCGATGTGGGTCAGGTTCTTGCACAGCGCGAGTTGTGCTGGCAATACTCCTGTGAGTGAGTTGCCTGAGATGTCTAACAAAGAGAGAGCACGAATTTTCCCCAATGTCCGAGGGAGTTCCCCGGTGAACCGGTTGTTACCAAGCCTCAGCCTTTCGAGACTCCGCGAGTTCCCCAATTGGGTAGGGACCTCGACGGAGAAGGAATTGTCTGTGACGTCGAACGAGAGGAAAGAACTCGAGCTACACAGCGGGGAAATGCTGCCGTTCAATTTGTTGGTGGACAGGTTGATCCTGGTCAGGTTTCTCAAATTGGAGAGGGAATGAGGCAGAGGACCTTGGAGGGAATTGTTGTAAAGCATGAGCTGCTCTAGATAACGGAGGGATCCGAAGGTTTCAGGAATTCCACCTGATAAGAAGTTATCTGCTAAATCCAGAGTAGTGAGCTGGGTACAGTTGCCCAACTCGACGGGGATTTCGCCGACGAGCTCGTTCTGCCTCCAGTGAAGGAAACTCAGCCGTTGTAGCCTGCCGATTGTGGCGGGAATCTTCCCAGAGAAATGGTTCCCGAAGAAATCAGCCGCTTGCAAGTTCGAACAGTTGCCGATCTCCTCAGGAACCACCCCGGAGAACTGATTGTCGTAGATGTAGAGCAGTTCGAGCGAGCCCAGCGTTCCAATTTCTCTAGGCAGCTCGCCGTGGAAATTGTTGTGGTAGATCGCGAGCTCCTGCAAGTTGCTGAGGTTTGCGATGGAGGGCGAAATCAAACCTTCAAGGGAGTTGTTGTAGAGGTAGAGATTCGTCAGCTGAACCATCTCGTAAATCTCGCTCGGAATCGTGCCGGTGAGCGAGTTGAACGACAGATCAAGCTGCTGCAAGGCTCGACAGTTTACCAGCTCCGCCGGAATCGTCCCAGTCAATTGGAGCTTATTCAGTATCAGGGTGTTGAGATTGGTCGCATTCGAGCATATGCCCTTTGGGACGACGCCGGTGAAGTTATTGGCCGTCAAAGCCAGAACGCCTAGCTGACCCATCTCGCCGAATTCTTCAGGGATCTCTCCGGTGAGCTTGTTTTCCGACAAATCGAGATTGTAGAGGCTACCCAGTTTGGTCAACTCCCTCGGGATTGGACCGTGGAGCTGGTTCCCCATGAAATTGATGTAGGAGAGTTGGGTCATGTCTCCGATTTGTCTCGGTATCTCGCCGGTGAGGCTGTTGTTGAGAAGGTTGAGGTACTGGAGATTCTGCAAACGGCCCAATTCCGGCGGGATGGTTCCGTTCAGCTTGTTGTTGGATAGAGCGAGTACTGTGAGGCTAGAACAATTACCCAACTCGGGTGGAATCGGTCCGTAGAGCTGATTGTCCTGCAGAACCAACTGGTCAAGTTTGCCGAGCCGGCCGAGTTGGGGCGGGATCGGACCGGTGAGAGTGCAGGAAGCCAGACCCAGCGTGACCAAGTTGGGGAGATTTCCCAATGAGGCAGGGATTTCGCCGGCAAGCCAGTTGTTGCCGATTTTGACGACCCGGAGGGTTTTGATCGAACCGAGCTGGGCCGGGATCCGACCCGTGAGGTCGTTGGTGAACAAAAGCAGAGATTCCAATACGGAGAGGTTGGCGAGAGTGGTTGGGATGGGACCCGTGAGGGCGTTGGAGGAGAGATCGAGGTGGAGCAGGTTCTGCAAGCGGCCAAGCGCGGGCGGGATTGACCCGGTCAGCGACGAGTCGGATAGGTTTAGACCCGAAACCACCCGGCCCGACCGGCAAGTGACCCCGCTCCATTTGCAGAAATTCGGGTTGCTCCGGTTCCAATCGCTCAAGCCTTCCCCGCCTGCGATCAGTGATTCCTTCACTTCCAGGAGAATCCCCAGCTCGTGACTTAGCGGGAAAACGGAGCTAAAAGAACAGCACAGCAGAAGGAACAGAAGGACAAACTGCTGAAGAAGAGGAAGAAGTTCCATTTCGTTGGTTCTGCTCTCTCTCACTCTCTGTTTTTGCTTGGAAACTACAGAGTACGTTGAGAAAGAGGGAATGAGGATGGGGTTATGCAAGAACTGGTTTTATGGTGGACATCAAGGTTTCGTTTTGGTGGGTAGAGGCATTGGGAGGGGAGAAGGGGCATTGGTTGGGGGAAGAAGGCGGCAGCAGCAGAATCCATGTGAAGGTGGAATTAGGGAGCTCTGCCTCTGTCTCTGCAGCAGCTTCTGATACCACAGTGCCCTTTAATGGGGGTGCTACTCACTAGGATAGAGAGATAAGAGAGGAAGAAAGGAGAGTGAAAGAGACAGATAATTGTTTTCTAATGGAAATGAGGTGAATTTCAGAAGGGTGGATTGACTATGGAGGGAAGATATCAATGGGAGTTCACACCAACTTGTGAGACAGGGACATGGCCATAAATGAGCAAAGCTTTGGGATTCTGCAGCTGGGACTGTGCTATTGGGAAGCAGGGGAGGTGGCATGGGCAGTGTTTTAAATGATGGAAGGAATTGGATTGGTTCGATTTGAGGGAGAAGCAGGTCAAACTTGGGTCAGAGGCAGAGGATTATTAATTGGAACACAAGTCAAAGGGTAGAGAAAGAGAGAGAGAGAGAGAGAGAGAGAGAGAGAGCAGGATATTCAATGTTGAGAGAGATGAGAAGAAAGGAAGGGAAAGGGGAAGAAGAGTGGTTAGAAAGAGGCAAAGGGCAGGGGCTGGTTGTGGAATGGAGTGGGGGAGGAGACAACTGTTCACTTGTGGGTTTGCTTGCATTAGTGTGTTAGCTCAGAATGGTTACATCTCTCTAATCACATTAACTAAAAATAATTGTGAGCGGTTGGGTTACCCTTTCTTTCTGCTGCTATAATATATGCAGCCTTTTTCTTGCATGGAACCAAAGGATGGAAGAAATGGATGGAGATAAGAGTGCAGAAGTTTTGGTCATCCTTGTAGGATACTAATATTGATAATGAGTTTATAGAGAACACAGAGATGATAGAGTCGGACATTCATGATTTTGCTAATTGAAGTAGTATTACTAGACAGTCATTCTTTTGGAAAATAATAATGAGTGTTGATGTTTTCTTACAGTATGCTTGGAAACAACAAAAAATAATGGAAACTAAATTTCATTCTCTACCTCTATTCGTTTGTCGTGTTTGAAATGTGAAAAAAGTGAAGAAAAGAGAGTTTAAGGTAACTACGCACAAGTTGTATTGTCGCATCACGATACGAAACACGGTCCTTAACAATCGTGTTAGAGGAAAGTCATAACATACATCATGAGTCATGACTAGCAAGAACTAGGACAAGATTGTGTTGAAGTTATGTTCAAATCGACTTCAAAACCTTATATGCTTGGTTTAGAAAAAATATGGCATGGACCACGATCATGGTGAAGCAATAGTCATTGGACCTTAATCCTATGCATAGGCTTCAAACATAATTTTTGAAGGCCGAATGATTCTAGAAGAAGGAAATAACTATCAAGACTAGAATTTGTCCAAAAACACTAAGAAGATGGAGTTTACACCCCAAATTATTACATAGATTTCTTTCGTGGATATGTCAATCGAGGAGAAACTGAATCTAAATCGTGATTGAGTTTGTTTTTCAAATTTCTTTTATTTCCTCAATGGACGATCCCTACATCATGTTGGATTGATTGTTTGGTTTGTGATATAGGCTTGATGTTTCTCTTTCGATCTACATATGATTATGTTGCAATTATGGATAGTAAACCTATTGAGACAAATGTTTATTTTTTGTTTACGATGTAAATATCAAATTGAATCATGGTACATACATTTATGAGTTGAGATCTTGAAAAGCCTATTTATTGAAGATACACTGATATAATATCGTCCTACTTGAGTTCGGTCACACATTTCATACAGTTGCGCACCAAAGTAACTAGAAATATTGCTCTCACCGAATAGAGATGAATCTTTTATTATGTACTGTATTTAATAAAATTTACATTATATAATGGTGTTACGTAAATTTTGTGAAATGTATATTCTAATAATAACACCAAGTTAAGAAAAATTTGTGTAATGCAAATTGATGGATGGTGAATATTGTAATTAATAATTAAAAAAAATTAATTACTAACAAAATAATGAAAATTATTACATTTGATCAAATTGCTATGTAAATCTTATAAAATCGTTTTTTTATAAGGTGATAGGAACTATTATTAAAGAGGAAATAAAAGAAAAAATCGTATAAGAACAAGAAAGGGGAGAAAACAAAAAAAGAAACTTGCAGTTCAAAAGCATTGAACTGGCAGCAGACAGGGAAACCAAAAACGACACGGGAAAGACAGCAATGCAGGCCTAAACCCTCACCAGCAGGGGGCCCGAAAGAAAGATCAAAACCAGCAAAGCTGGACACAGAGATAGGGACAACCGCCAAAAGAAAACACAGAAACCTGCAGGCGCAAGGAGCTCCCCTGTCAAAAACACGACGATCCAATCAATCAATTTCCAGAGTTTTGACGAATCGGGCAAGCTTGCTTTACCATTCTAATCCACTTAATGCCATTATGTTGGCTCACCACACCAGCTGCATTGACCCACCACAGGAGGTTCCAACCCATCTTGTAGCACACCTCATCCAATTACCAGTTCTTTGCTTCACCATTCATAAAGATACAAATTGTCATGAGGTATGAGATGAGAGAGAAACCTAGAGAGAGAGAGAGAGAGAGGGTATGGGGGAGAGATCGTGAGAGCGAGCTTGCGTCCAGAGAGGGAGAGGATGAGAATCTTTTGTTTTCTTGCAGGTACTCAGCGATTGGGTCGAAGGAACTCGAGCCAACTCTTTGGAAGCTTCCGCATCAGGTGTCTACTGGGGACAAAAGGATCCTCCTGGATACCTGGGACTCTTCGACCATGTTTAGAAAGAATGGCTGGTTAGTGTTCTTCAGACGGTGGAGCTGAGAAAATGGCATTTTTCTGGCAAGGACATTTTGCGTAGCGAAAGAAGGGTCTTTCATGTTGGGAAGTCCAGGAATCGCTGGGGGAATTTCTTAAAAGTGTCAGAGTCGGTAAGATAAGAGAACTCTTTATTCGCCATTATCCCGGAGGACTCGGAGTCGGCCGGTTGGAGGAAGATCATTCGTCTCCTTCTGGATCCTACCCAATCAGGTTGTCGTAGTCACCGGTTAACTGGTGCTTCTTCCCATTTGTCATACACGGATGTGTTTCGCCCTAAGAAATTTAGCTGGGATGGTGAGGCAGTGATTATCGACAGAGACCAAGCATCTTTTATTGAAGTTAATTCGAGAGGGGTCAGTGAAAGAATACAAGCTCTTGAGTGTTGCGTCAGGTTGTCGTTCTCAAGCCAGTTGAAGAAGGATTTCTCCAACTGCTTGGTCAAGTCTTTCCGGGATTGGGATATCTCTAAGTGGGCGCTGAGAGAAGACTGCAAGTTAGTGAAGGGTGATAACGCCGATTGGTGGTTGGTTTGTTCAAGTGACTCAGAAGCAAGAAGAATATCAGCTTTTAACTGGGTGAAATTCCAAGATTACTTGGTAACTGTCCGACCTTGGCACAATACTGGCGATAGGCTTAGAAAGGACCGAGGAATGGCAGCTTGGATTTGGGAAACATGCTTTCCTCTTCAGCTTAAGAGCAAAGAGCTTTGCATGGCGATATGCAATTACTGTGGCAAGTTCATCGTTTGTGACCTGGGTCCCTGGTGGTCGTCTCCTCTGAAAGTCAAAATCCAGGTCACAACTGATATTCCTGATGAAATCCCGATTTTCTTTGAACAGTGCTTTTTCCTATCAGAATCACGGTACTGTTGCCTCCGGCGATGTGGGAACCACGACAGAATTACCTTGGAGGAAATACGAAGGGTCTATGGTTGGAATCATCAAAAGTTGCTTTAAAATTGAGGCAACCCGTTAATTCTTGTCATCCTGAGGCCCCGCGTGAAAAGGAAGAGAATCATGTCAGGGAATCGAAGCATCTCAAATATTCTTTCACGCGCACACTTATAAAATCATTGTGTAATGCAGTTTGATGAGATGGTCAACCATTTAGTTAAATATAAAGAAATTTTAATTAGAATAAACCTGGTAGAATCTTTGTGTAATGTCAATTAATGAGATGATAAATCATTTTGTCAATAATAAAGAAGTTTTCAATCGAACTCATATTACGGAAGACTATGTAATATATTGTTTTATTTGATGCATAATAAATAATTATCCTTTCATAAATTTTGCAAAATGTCTTAATCATTAGGAATGACTTTAACGTATCACATTGTTATGGGACAATCCAAGTAACACATCGAAAATACAAGGGAAGGAACCCTTGTATATAAGTATCCACCTAGCCCACTTAGTACAAGTCCTTTTGGGGAGGACACCCAAGAGTAAATCTGTGCGGGCTTGGCCCAAAGTGGACAATATCGTACTAATTGAAACAGAAGATGTAGGCAATATAACAGATCAAGATGCAAGCTTTATTGAAACAACAAGGGTTGTGGGGGGCGCTATCTGCGAAACAGAAGAAGGCAGCGGTCGATGACGGTGAGTGGAATACCCTGGAGGAGAAGGCCCACTCGACCATCATGCTATCGCTGTCTGATGACGTCATCATTGAAGTTGCTGCTGAGAAGACTGCTGCGGGCTTGTGGTTAAAGTTGGAGAGTCTGTATATGACGAAGTCCTTAACCAACAAGCTGCATCTCAAGCAACGGTTGTTCAACTTGAGGATGCAAAAAGATACGCCTTTGAGGGATCATCTAGAACAGCTTAATTCTATCTTGCTAAACTTACACAATATAGATGTTAAGGTAGACGATGAAGATGCTTCCTTAATCCTGCTTGTGTTTGCCGAGTTCATATGAGAATTTCGTGGATTCTTTTATTGTTGTTAAAGATAGTTTGTCGTTGGAGGATATCAAATCTGCTCTTCACACGAGAGAGATTAGGCATAAGGAATTCAGTTCTGGTACAGGTGGTGAAACATTGGTTTTGGCTGTTACTGGTGGAAAGGGAAAGAAGAAATCTGGTAAAGGGAATTTGAACAGGAATTCCAAGGGTCCCGGTCCAGAGCCAGGTGATGCTTCTCACAACTGTAAGGAAGTAGGGCATTGGAAGTACAACTGTCCCAGGAGAAGAGGGCAATAGAAGAACCACGGTTCAATTGTCATGGCAAAGTGTAATTGGGAAGCTACATTAATGCAAGTTTTCCAAGAAGGGTATCCACCGGACGAAGGGAATACTAGATTACCTCCACTCCGACTGTTGGGGTCCTTCACGAGTTGAATCCATTGGAGGCAACATGTATTTCCTGTCTATTATTGATGATTATTCGAGATTTACTTGGATTTTCATGATGAAGCAGAAAAGTGAGGCTTTCACGAAGTTCAAGCAGTGGAATACATTAGTGGAGAATCAGACCGGGAAGAAGATCAAGAAGCTAGGAACGGATAATGGTCTAGAGTTATGTAGTTCTGAGTTCAACGACTTCTGCAAGGATGAAGGGATTGCCCGTCATCGGATCTTTAGAGATACACCCCAGAAGAATGGCGTTGTAGAAAGGATGAACCAGACATTGTTGGAGAGCAGCATGGTGCATGCTCTCTATTGTTGGACTAGAGAGAAGATTGTGGGCAGAAGCAGTGAACATGGCGTGCTTCCTGATCAACCGTGGACCTCACACATGTATCGAGTGTAAGACTCCTTATGAAGTGTGGTATGGTAAGCCTGATGATTACTCTTCACTGAAAGTTTTTGGGTGTCCTGTTTATTATCATGTGGATAAGAGTAAGCTGAACTCAAGGGAAAAGAAGGGTGTATTTGTGGGTTACGGAGATGGAGTTAAGGGATTTCGAGTCTGGTCACCTTATGAGCATCGAGTTATACTCAGTAGAAATGTAATATTTGATGAGAAGTCTATGTTTAACCCCATGTTGAAAGTTACTGTTGT